GGGACTTTTCATTAGTCTAGCAATAGTACTGAACAGAAACCTATGTTGTTGTTTTTTATTCTCATCTATTAAAGACGAGTAATGTAAAGTTCTAGATTTACGGAGAGCTTTCTTATATGTTAGCAGACTATTTCTCCAAGTTAAGTAAAATTATTCCATGTTAGTGGAGTGCCATTTTCTCTCCAGCTTTCTAGATGTCTGTTGTAAAGTACCTAACAGTTAAAGTTGTATTTCTTTTTCTCCTCTTTCATACAGGCAAAACCATGTGAATCAGTTCCAGCAAAAACATTTATCTTCCCAGTTTGATGCAATTCTTACCAACAGTATTCTGACAACATGCTGAAATTCAGCCTTTTGATTTAAAATGCATAAATAAGAGTTTCATTTAAATTATTTGTCATGTTAATTTAGTACTTTAAATCTATATTTTATACTTTAATGTGCACCTGTTTCTTACATTTATTTAAGAGGATAGTGTAAATGCCAAAATCCACTTTTAAATTTAAATAAACTGCTAGACATGGGCACCAGTGACCACTGCGACCCAAAAAGGAAGAAGCAGGTAGAATATAATGGATGGATGGATGGATGGATGGATGGATGGATGGATGGAAAAAGACAACAGCAGATTTGACAATATGTCATTTAGTTTTGATGTGCCACCCCATGATTATTAGCAGGCCCCATCTGGCAACTCTTCTGCAAACATTCTGGACCCGATACAAGTTGACCCCCCTGTAATGGACCCTAATCTCCTCAGGTTTTACTTTTTTATAGAAAGGTGTTTGACTGGAGAAACTCTTACTGTCACAAGATTTTCTGCCAGTGATGAAGCCAGAGATTTGTCTTGGATCTTGACCCTCAGTTGCCACAACAATCTCCAGTTGACCCCGAGACAACCAGAAAAGCTCGCGGCTGTTCAGATCTGTCAGCACCTCGGCAAAATCTGGATCCTGCACAGATTGAAGTGGTTAGCACAAAGGTAAAAGCTTACTTTTGCATAAATTGAAACAAAGTGTATATTTCACTGTAAATAAACACATTTTCAGTACCAGGAACAGAAATGTCACAGTATGGAGGTAGATCTTTTTGATTCTTGTGGGTGAAACACTAACATGTTCCGTGATTTGGGTCCAGCTACATATGTTTTGGTTTGCTCTAAACAAAAAGGAAACAAGAGAGGAAAACAAATCCTGTGGCAGTTCAATCCTCTCAAGATTAAATAAATACGACCGTCACAAAGGTATCCAAAGTCCTAAAACATGACAAACACACACATTTCTGCTGCATCACAACACGACCGTGCAGTCACCCCGTCTGAGGCAAACGCTCCGTCTGACGGCAAAACCATGAGCCGCTCCGCTTTGACGGGTTTCAAACTGAAACGAGTCTCATTTGAAGCAGACTGTTGTTCCAAAAATAAATAAATTAATTATAAAAGATGGTAAGAAAAGTTGGATTAATGGGACAGATGTATGAGCGTGTCAGAGAAATGTTATTTTTATGACCCTTGGGCCGCAGTTCAATAAAAATATACATGAAGCATAAATCCACTGAGCGTGCAGCCAAAACAGCACATGGGCTGGACTGGGAGAGGGGTGCTTTAAAAGATATGGAAAAATAATGCCGGGGGGGCTGTAAGGTGCAGATGGATATACTGGTGTACGGTGTGAACTGAGCAGAGCAGGAACACTAACATGACAGCTGTTCTCTGTTAGGAGTGATCTATGAGTTATCACTCACCGCTGGACGCAAAAGGGCAGCTATGTTTTAGTCTATGTGTGTTAGCAAAATATCTAAAATATTATCAATCCTTGAATTGGCAGAAAGTAATCTTTGAATGTACACGCAGCATCATTAAGAACCACACCCACCCAGCACAAGAACTCTTCCGTCTACTACCCTCAAGCAGATGATACAGGAGTCTGTCATCGCTAGGGGTTGAACGACTACATCATTTTTAAACTCGACATTAACGTAATAAAACTCAAGTAGAACTCGAGTACTTGATGACATCATAGGATCTAAAGATACAAAAATAAATAAATAAAACCGCAAAAAAGATCATTATTTACAAAAAAAGACCAACAAAACATTGAGAGCGTATATTATGCTCCTACCATTTATCATACTGCAAATAAGTCACAGGAAAAACTAAACTATTAGTTAGTTACTATTAGTAAACTATTAGTTATTATTATTAAGCTGCAATAATAAAAGAAACATGTGGCACGTCAAAATCGAAACTAAAATCAGTGGGGCTGTCAACCACCCCACACCACCGCCAGCTGTGATGCGCATTAGGTTTAGTTTTATGTTTATAAGTTTTAAATAGGTTTAGAGATTAATATTTTTTGCTTTTTGTTTGTGAAACAAGGTCAGAGGAAGCTGGTTCTGGTTCGGTCGATTGGACCCGGTGTTACACCATATTCTGTGACCTGCAACAGTGCATGCAACACCGCCCCCTACAGTCACAATATACGGTGGTTACAGAATATGGTGTAACACCGGTTCACAACGAGCTCCAAACATTCAGGAAGTTGATTAATTTTCTGTTTCCTTACGGTAGTTGAACCAGAAGATTCATCTTTAGTGAAATATTTACACAATATTGATGCATTTCTACCTGTTTGCCAAGACTGGGTCTGCTCTGCTCCATCCGTCTGCTTGGAGGAGTCCATTGTGTAACCTGCGCCCGGTGCGGATCACGTGCCGCAATGACGTAACGGTGACGTAATGACATCACCACAAATACTCGACGTGAAATAAAAAAACTCGACAGATGTCCTAGGAATCAATGTGTAGATTACTCGAGTAGTCTGTTAAAGCCCTAGTCATCGCGTACAAATAGACTGAAGGACAGCTATTATCCACAAGCCGTCAGATTACTGAACTCTCGATAAATAACATTAAACAACTGGCAGTAACATTGGACCAAGCCACATTTGTGACAACTAATATGATTATTGTTTATTGCTGCTGCACTATGTGGCTGTATCTAGGCTGATACTAGGCTGTATCATGTATGATACAATATGAAGCAGTGTGTATCTATGAATCTACCTTACAATCATAATTCAATCTCAGTGTCACTCACTACCTGTCCAATAACCTGTCACACAACATGATATATATATATATATATATATATATATATATATATATCATG